TTGATGATGGATGTCATCATACTAGTGAGACTGGCTGCTCCAAAGTTGATTTATGCTCTTGAGGAAATTACGATGCGTTCGAGCCTTCTATTCATGAATGTATATATATATATATATGCTACTTTAGACTTGCTATGAAACTAACATGCTCTCACGGAGTTTGGTAGCATTATTAGTTCATTGCATCGGGCTGATATGAACTAATGGACGTAAGCCACAAATTCTACTATAGCTGCCTACAGGTACGTCGAGGCCCCCTTACTCATTCGATTAACGTACCGAGTAAAACAACTTTTATCTAATTTATCGCAGAAGTTCAAACATTTCTAAATCGATACTGATGACTTTTCCATCGTATTGAACACGTCCTGTGAATACCTTGTATAGTCGGTTCAGGTGCCATAATCAATATTGAGTAGCAGGCAGAGGAAACCTCTAAAATCTATCCTCGATTGCATTACCGAGCTTGTGATTCTGATTGGGTGATGCTGCCCAGGGTTGGATTTTATTGCCTACAGCACTGATCAAGTATAAGTTAACAGATTCTTACTATTACCTATATAATGAAGTACTTTTATAAGCTATTCAGCTGGCGGAAATTTGTAGAATTTCAAACTAGTAGGGGACTATCAATGCCCGTTTGTTTCTCAGATAAAAGACGAATTGAGCATCTCTGTATCAGCATTCTGGGAGCGACTGGAATCCGTAGACTGTGACAATTATTGGTGTTTTTATAACCCCTCCAGGTTGATTAGGTCAGTGCAGTAACTCATGTTACGAATTTATTCACCTGGATGTATGAAAACGTGCCATCACATTAATTTGTTTGGAAATTTCTAGCACGGATGGTTTAGCTTCGGCTTCGAACCAGCAGACCAAAAGGTCTTTCAAATCTGCCAATTAGCTTTATAAAAACTTAAGTAAACTTGCGGGAAAGTGTCAAATTAGCATGCAATAAGACTACCTTTACGCGTTTGACGCAATACCGTCCTCGGATTCCGTTATATCAGCCTTATGTTTATTTTCAAATTTTTATATCACATCTTGACAATGAATGACTTTTAAAATGGTGATATTTCGGTTCCTATAGACGATCCACTGCGGATTTGCTCCCTGTATACTTGGTTTAACTTGATTGAGAGATGACTGCACATTCACGCCGTTGTTTGTTTGCAGAATGGAGTGCACTTTCTTTCAAATTATTGTTGAACTATGTGGGCATATACATGGATAGTCTGCCCCCTCCCCACTTGCTCCTGATGGACCTTGCAAAGGCCATGGAGAAACCTGATGCAAGTGGGCTCTATACGGAAAAATAACAAAACTCACATTCACCCGTCACGACGTTTCATTTACGATGATTAAAGTACATGGAACCTAGGGGCATTTTACCCGAATCAGTGTACTTGGTCATTTCATTTTACGGGGGTGGTGACGATGGAGACCAATGGGCTTACAGGCGTATGGAAAAATCGATGGGTTCT